AGTGCCTCTCCTGTAGCCGGAAGTCACATAATTCCTTGCAGATCATGGCTTTTTGGGACATGCCTGATGCATCTAGGACTAGTAACAAGAGTTGGGCAGTGCTGCTTTTGCAAGCCATCTTCTGTATCCATGCAAGCAGTTCCCTGGTTGCTCTAAATAGTTATTGCTTCCTTGAAAGCAGTGAGTGCCAAGGCCAGAAGAACTGCTGCAGGAGGGGAGGCCTCCAACCTCCACAGTCCAGCTTCTAGTGACTAGGGAGAAAAATTTCCTGGTATTTAGAAAATGACATGTCAGACACTAAACCAGCACAATCAACTCACAGTGGTTTACATGCATCTATCTTCCTAAAGAAAAAAAAATAATTCTATGACCTTCATGATTACATAAATGTATTTATTATTTTGTATGTATATATTATCTTTTCATGACCTTTCTAAATTAGGGACACACACAGAATAGATACAGCTAGTCACCTTTCTCCAAATTTTAAAAATTTCAAGATTAGCACTGCACACCTTTTTGCTACATCCCTCCTTCTAGCCCATATAAGTGGTGGAAGCAATGGCACTGTGTAAATGTGTATTAGCACTAGGAATAAAAGCATAAAGCCTAGATTATGCCATGTAATATGTGCATGATGTCATTAGCAGCCAATTCATGAGCAAAGAGTAGCTTAGGGAATCATATTGGTGCCATGCATGCCAAGACCCCTTCTCAAGTGCCTAACCTGAGAGAGACACTCACCACTGGTGAGGCATTCCCCAAAAAAAGGCAAGATTGTGCTGGAATGGCTTTAAAGAAAACTGGAAAAAGAGAGAGACTAACTGTTATCATCTTAATTTTTATTGTTATGAAAACCAAAAGGTGTGCATTTCTAGATAATACTGTAAATACTAGGAATTTTGTAAATATATTTGATGGGAAAAAGAGGGGTATGGAAAATTGCATGTAGACAAATAAACTTTTTAACTGAGACTGACTTTTCTTTCAGGGAAGATCCAAAGGATGTGCTACAGAAAGTCTGTCCCTTTTACCTGACAGTTAAAAAGGAAGATATTTCTGGTTCTGGCCTGTGTTCTTCTGACTGAGAAGATAAAATGTGCCAAGCACATTTAAGTTCCAATTTTTCAAAAGCAATTTTCAATGATCTTTTGATGCTGACCTCAGATAGACTAAGGAAGCCTGAATTTTGGCTAAAAGAGATTGGTACTTATTGTGTGGTGGGTGTCTTTCCTATTTAGGTGGAACAGCGCATGTTATCAGTATAATTCTCCAAAATTCATCTTCTATGTAGCTCACTGTACTTTTAATCACAAAGAGCATCGGGAGGAGGCCAGCCAGAGCACAAGCATCTTGATCAGCATTCATTCCTAATGCTGGAATCAGTATGGAATCAGTATGCACAGCCTATCAAGGCACTGTTGCCATCTAAATGATGAATAGAAAACCAATTTCTTGGCACAGGCCCCTTTGCAACAGGTCCAAATTGCCAGCTATCCTCGCTGAGGGAGGGAGGGAACTGTGGATCCTTGCAGCTCTGTCCATGCTGAAACTCATTTCCTGGATCTCAAGAAATCTTGTCCTTCTTATCACCCTAGTTTTTTCCTTAAGTTTGTACTTTATTGACGTCACACCAACTGTGTCAAAAGTAAAATAGGCTGGTATTAACTAAGTGATATTTAGTTATTCACTCTTCCTAATCCCACCTGCCAATCCTAAAGGATTTTTGATTTTGTGTCATGTCTTCTTATCTACTTGCACTGCCTCATACCTGAAAAGATTCGCCCAAAGGCAGCAGTAATTCCAGGACTTCTCTCTCCAGAAGTTTTTTTTCTATTTGAAGTTAATTTATCTACTTCCTGTGATTTCAGGAAAGAGGACTTGGAGGAGGGAAGGAACACAACGTCCTCCCCCAGAAGTCCAGCATGGACATCCATGCCATGGAATTAATTTCTTATGGAAACATCACTGACGCTTGTTGTGTGAGCGAGCTCTGGAGCCCTTCATTAGTCATACTTTCCCACGTAAAGCTCATTTTATGCAGTTTTGGAGCCTGGGGAGTCAACCCAGAAATTTGCTGATTGAAGTCAGCAGGACAGACTTTCCAGAGTAACGAAGTGAGGCCATTGCTGAACACCATCTACCTGTATGTAGCTACATGACGCCAGATACAGACTCAAATAATGAAAATTTCAGATTCAAATAATGAAGTTGAAAGCAAAGGGTACCTTTCAGGTAAAATGCTTTCCCATGATGTAACTGGTGTTCTGTGTTGGAATGTAAATACCAGTTCAACATATGTTAGCACTTTAATGGATGAGAGGTGCTGATCTGAAGGTCTGGTAATGAAGGAAAATATAAAAAAAAAAATTAAAATCTGTATTTGTCTTCAATAAGAAGAAATTTAATTAAAAATAAGGGTCTAAATATTAAAATATAGAACATGTATGGGTCTGAATTTAGGATGTTTTTTAAATTTTCCTAGATTTTTACAGGATTTAGAACTACATTTATTTTATGAAAACATTTTTCTTTTGATGCATGTTTTCCACTGTGTTCCTTACTTTCCTTTTCAGTGAGACAGACAGCTCTGCCCTCTCTGACTCACATCCAAAAGTCAGCAAGACTTACAAAAGCTACCCAGATAATTTAGACAGTCTTTTGCTGCCCATTACGTGCTGACCTAAACCACAAGTATAGTACCAAGTTGTCACATGTAAAAGAAGATATAAAATTCAAGTCCTGTACACCTGAAACCTTTTATTTTCTCATGTTGTTTTCCCTTTTTTGCTGTTCTATTAGTCCCATCTCATCTTGTATTTTTGTCCATACATTCTGCCTCCCCAAACCACACTACAGTGTGACTTCAACTCCCAGGCTGCCCTGCAGTGTCATTTCCCACTCCAATTTTCCACTTCACTGAGTACTAAAGTGGTGTGCTTATAATGGGGATGTCTTTTATGTGCCATGTCTGTAGTGTGAATTCTGAGTGTCCATATGCTGTTATTTGTAAAGGTGCAAGTCTCTTGTTACTCTGCAGCAATTGATATCTGTATTTTAATTATTATTGCAATGGAGACGGCTGCAAGATACCTGCCATTTTTTTCTATCATCAGTATTTTAAAATTTACTCCTATGGACCAGCGTCTTTTAATTTTACTGCTTTACACAAATAAAGAGTGATCTGAATAGCAGAAAGGTTGCAGCAGAATGGATTGCAAGTAACTTTGCCCCTGATGTCAAAGGCCATTAAATGGGGCAAAGCCAGTGCAGGACAACTGACTGAGGAGGAAGAGACTGGCTGTCTGACTAAGTACACATCTTCATTTTCCTCACCCACTGGCATGAAAAAGCATTTTTGGGCTTGGTGATGAGGGTTGTACTACTATATCAGACAAGAGGGATCTAAAAAGCACAAGAGAGTTTCCTCCCTCCTTCTCCTAACCCAAAGGAAACCAAATGCACTCTGTTCTGCCAATACTTCCTACCTTTATTACCCTTTGGTGAAGAAAATGCATGAGTAATCAGTTAAGAGCACTTCTTTTCACGATTTTTTAAAGTCACTCTTAAAGTAGTGGAATCAGAAGCCAAACTGCCCAGAAAGAGATACTCTGAAAATGTGAAAAATTACTTCAAAGAATTTGGGAGCCCTATGCACACTGAGATTTTGTTTTTTATCTTTCACCAGTTTAACAGCATTGTAAGACACTATCGTAATCTTTTAGACAAAATAATTTCCTTGATTGCTGTGATATGTTTTCTTTGGTTTTCTGCATTAGTTTTGGGTTTGGGGGTTTTGGTGTGATTACTTTTTTCTTTCTAAATAGTATTAACATGAGAATTAAGTAAGTACCTACTCTTACTAAACATTACTACTGCTGCAGTTGGCATGTTAAATCAGCTTCTTAATAGTACAGGAAAATGTGTCAGGCACATGTGGGACTGAGCACAGGTCAGAAATACATAGGCTCAGGAAGCACAGCTGGACTCACTAAATGTATGAGACATTTTCTTTTGGCAGTAGAAGACTTTCTGATCTGTTTTTTGAAAAATCAATGAAAAGTACTATGAAAATAGGACAGCTCCCTATAGAAGGATACAGGCTCAGGGTAAGAGAGTTGAGTTCCAGTGTTTTGCTTTGTCTTGCTTTGCTATGTTTGCTGCTGGATTTCTACTCTCCCTATCAAGGAACTCCACATTTGGGCAAACAACAGAAATAAATGCCAGGAGTGAATTTGGGGCTTGGGATCTAGGAAGGATGACTTTGCCAACCTTGAGTGACTGGTGCTGCATGATCCCTAGAAGATTTTGGGGTGCTTGAGTGTCAGGGAGGACAGAGATTTTTTTTTTTTATGACTGCCCTTCAGTTTTGACTTGAAGTTGTAATTTCAGAAATAAGATCAAAACCACAAACCCAGTCTGGAACCAGTTTACTGCTGTTGGTTGCTACACTGAGACAGGAGTGAGGAATGGATGGGAGGAGGATGTCGAGAGCAGAAGAATGGCAAGGCAAGTGTGGCACATTCAGCAGCACGGGCATGGTACCCCAGAACAGCTGATGGTGGTGCCGGGAAGCCCCGTCCCGGCCGAGCTGGGGGGCGCAGGTCCCTCAGCCACAGCATCCATTACTGCACGTGATGCTGCAGCCCCCAAACCAGGGAAAAGTGTGAAAGGAGCTCGGACCTGGGAGTGACTCTGACCTGGTGGAAACTTCTAGGGGAGTAAGCAGGTGCCTAAGGTTCTGGGGCTGTAGAAGGAGGCTTGTGCCAGTAGTGGAGGCAGCCATCAGCTGCGCTTCTAGAAATCCTCATCCCCGCTATCCGTCTGGATATGTTTTACTATCTAGAGGAACTGCCTCACCTCCAGCAGACACCGCTACCCGCCCTGCGGGGTCCGACCGCCGCCTCCCCGGGGGCCGGGGCCGGACCAAGGCGGGGGACCCGCGCCTCACCTGAGGCGGCGGCGGTGGCCACGCCTCTCCCTGCTGTGCCTCTAAAGCCCTCCTCCTCCTCTTCCTCCTCCTCCTCTCCATCCCTCCATTCCTGCCTCGCCGCTGCCGCTCGTAGCTGCCGGGCTCTGCCTCGCCCGCCTTCTCTCCCCACCCTCCTAATCCCCATCACCAGCCATGGCCGACATGAAGACAGGCATCTTCGCCAAAAACGTCCAGAAACGCCTCAACCGCGCCCAGGAGAAGGTGCGCTCCGGGGCGGGGGAACTGCTGGGAAGGGGCGGAGGGGGATGAAGAGCGCGGCGGCGGTGCCCGGGGTCCCGGGGAGGATGCGGCTCCGCTCGCCCCCAGCGCCCGCCGCCGCAGCTCCCCCGGTCCGTGCCCGCGGGGCGCCGGGCCGGGGCCGCCGGCCTGGTTACGTAACTGACCCATTTCACCCCGCGCTGCCCCGGCTTCCCCCGGCCGCGGCTCCCGAGCGCGGGGCTGCGGCGCTGCGGGCGCTGCCGGCGGCACCTGCCGCAGGCCCAGGCCGCCGCTGCTCCCTCGCCCTTGAGGCGGCGCGGGGCTGCCCGCGGGGGAGGCGCCGCTCCGCACCCGGCGTGGCCGCGGGGCTGGCCCGGCCCGCGCGGGGAACGCGGGCTCGGTTCGCCTCGCCTCCCCTCACCGCCCGCCGCCAGCCCTCCTAAGAGGATTGCCTTTCCTTTAATATCCGCGCCGACTCATCCCCGGCTGCGGCGATCCGCCTTGCTGCAGCCGCGGCGTGACAGACACCGCTGCGTGTGATGACAGGAGCCCGCGGGGGCCGGGGGCTGGCGCAGCCCGCGCCTCCTTCGGCGGCTGCTGCGGGTTTGGGGAGCTGCTCGGGATGTCATGGGGCTGGTCTGCAGCTGACAGCTTGTGCTGCTTAGGACAGTCGGTACCGATTCCAGCGCTGTCGTAGCCTGGAAATGACCAACGGGCGAATCAGGGAGAATTTGCAGGAGTTCCTGACCAAAGACGAGGGCTTTACGGGCCACTTTTTGTTTTGTTCAGCTTCATTAATGGAAGCTGATAGATATAAATGTTCTGCACAAATAGCTCCTGTGTAGCTATAGGGTGTCTCAAAACATAATCATGGATACAGATATTAGGCCCAATAGAAAAGCATTTGTGTACGACTATGTGTAGCAGGTGTGTCTGCTGTTAGTACAGTTTGCAATAAAACTATTGCCAGCATGAGTTTTGCAGACGTAGTTGTCAGTACGTGTAGCAAGTCATCTCTTTTGAGGGTTAATAAAACCTTTATACCCCTCTATCATATCCTGTATCGTTATGCAGCTTAGGGAATAGGGCTTTTGTGAATTAAGGAAGATTATCTTGTGAGCATATTTCTTATACTTCACGCCCATAAATCCACACTTTCTTTTTGGACACATGTTGAATTCTGTGGAGCTCCAGCGGCAGAAAAAAACGCAATAATTAATATGTCTTATTCATAATTGAGTTATTATTTAAGAATCTAATAGTTGAGGCTGTCACAGACTAGTGATTAATTTTCCCTTTCAAATACTCCTGTCTAGCTCACCAGGTTATAAAGTACTAGACTTTTCAAAGTCATGATGTGTTTCCATTCTTGCAGGTTTAGACAGTAACTGTTTTCAGGTAAAACACGTAAATCCTCTGTAATAGTTCAAAGAGATCTGATGACTTTATGGTGTGATTGAATTGACTTGAGTTCATAGTTGGAGTCGAAGCCTAAAAATACTGTTTTTTTCCTTGTGTCTTTGTCAGTATGGTTATGATTAACCATCTGGAAAAGCACTGGTGCAAGTTGTAATCACATGTACTGCTTCAAGCTGTGTCTGTTCCAATGTGTGGAGTCCTGCTCACAGAAATGTGTGGGCATACTAGAGAGAACATCTTAATGTGAATATTGGAGATACCCCGTACTTCTCAAAGATTGTTCATGCACCAGCCCCAGGACAGGTGCCTTGAGTCTGATGGGTGCCTTGGGTGCAAATCAAAGATGCTGTTGGGCTCTGACAGATGGTCTGCTCCACCTCCACTTTGGTGATCAATCATGCTAACAAGGGGGAAATTTGTCTGGTTTGACTTTCATGTATCAGTCAGGCATCTGGCAATTTTGGCTTCCTTATAGTATCTGCGGTGGGAATTTCCTATGTCAGTGGTGTGCAAGTTGCTTATTTACAGGGTTATTTACAAGATATTAGTGGCCTCACACAGTCGTAGTACCAGTGGTGACACAGAGTAGGTCACAGTACCGTACAGCTCTGTATACTTGCCTCCTCCTTCTTGGCCCGTGTGTTGTTATTGCCTGAGCTGTGCAGGTATACTCCTTCATGTCTATGTTTCTGGTTAGCTTTGAGTTCATGTGTGTCTATACAACATAAAATCTGTCGTTATTCTTGCTGAAACTTTACCAAAAAAAAACAAACAAACAAACCAGGCCCCAAATGGCAATGATTGAGTTTTGTTTGTTTGGTTTGGGTACTTGATGACAACAAGTAAATTTTGTCTAGGAATTGAAAGTGTATGATTTGTCTGATTCTTGATGGTGTGAATAGGACGGCATTGTGACAGGTGTGTAATATCACACTGGCTTAAAGAGATTTTAAATACATTGAGTTGTTTTTATCTTGATGCTTATATTGGATTTGTGCACCTGCAGTTTACTGACTATATTCTTATATATCAATGCTTTTATAAAGCATTCTTGCATTGCTTTCTATTATTTATTGATGCAACAGAAGTGTTAAAAATATGGAGTGGCTCTATAACATAGACCTTCATTTTGGATTTCAGTAGAGCTTTTGATACTGTCTCTCACAGGATCCTGCTGGATAAAATGTCCAGCCCGCAGCTGGATAAACACATTGTGCAGTGGTTAAGCAACTGTCCCACAGGTTGCTATCAAAGGGTTACAGTCAATGGGGTGACAGACTGGTGTGCTGTCACTAGTGGGGTTCCTCATGGCTTCACCCTCAGCCCAGTGCTCTTCAACATCTTCACAAATTACTTGGACGTAGCACTATAAGGGATTCTAAGTAAGTTTGCAGATGCTAGAAAAGTGGGAGGAGCTGTTGACTGCTGTGAAGGCAGAGAGGCCCTGAAGAGAGAACTTGATAAATGAGAAGGCTGGGCAATCACCAAACATATGAAGTTCAGAAAGTTCCAGATTCTGCACCTGGGATAGGACAACTCTGGATGTATGGACAGACTGGGGAAGAAGAATCTGGAAAGCAGCCCAGAAGAAAGGGACCTGGGAGCCCTGGTCCACAGGAAGCTGAATGTGAGCTGGCAGCCAGGAGGGCCAAGCATGTCCTGGGTACATCAGGCACTGCATCACCAGCTGGGCAAGGGAGAGGATTGTCCCCTTTGCTCTGCACTGCTGCAGAGTCCTGTGGGCGGTTTTGGGTGCCACAATGTAAGGAAGATATTAAGCTATTAGAGAACACCCTAAAGGAGAGTTAGCAAAGGTCATGAAGGGCTTTGACGGGAAGTTTCAAATATGAGGACTGGATGAGGTCACTTGGTGTCTTCAGCCTGGAGGAGACTGAGGGGAGATCTTATAGTAGTCTACAACCTATTAATGAGGAGGAGAAGGGCAGACACTGATCTTTTCTCTTGTGGTGACCAGTGACAGGAGCTGACAGAATGGCCTGAGGTTGCATCAGGGAAGGTGTAGGTTGGATATTAGAAAAAGGTTCTTCCCCAGACGGTGATGGTTGGGCATTGGAGCAGGCTCCCCAGGGAAACAGTCACAGCACCAAGCCTAAAAAAGTTCAAGAAGTGTTTGGACAATGCTCTTGGGCACATGATGTGACTCTTGGGGATGGTCCTGTGCAGACCTGTGAGTTGCACTCAATCCTTGTGGATCTCTTTGAATTCAGTTTATTCTGCAATATCTGATTCATTTATGTGAACTATTTTTCTAATAATGCCACCATTATCTCCAGTTTCTTGCTGTCTAGGAGAAATTTTGGTTGTACAGTGTAGGTAGTGTGTGTGTCTAGTCACTATTTATATGACAAATGCTAAATATCTGCAAAGTCTCATATTGGCCAGATCTTGGTCTTGCATTAGAAGTGTTAATCTAAGAGTTATTTGGAAATAATAATTGGACACTCTATTTTTCACATAATTCAGGTGATGGTGCTTTATGTGGTAGCATATGTGCCCTGGCACCCTGATTTTGAATAAGAGTGTGCCATCTATTAAAATCCTCTGGTCATCACATTTCTTCAATTACTTTTGCCTCAAAATGCAGGAAGTGTGGACATGCTGAGCTTTCAGCATCTGTTAAAATCTGCCGAAAGTCAGCTGAACAAACTGGATTAAATTTTTATAAGGACCAGATTGATTTAGGAGACTACATCCCAGCCATAAAAATTAATGAAATACCAATGTATTTAAAATGAAACCAGAATAGATGTTTTGGTAACCAAGGTTGACTGAGTCAATTCTACGGACAAGGTTACTTGAATGAAAAGGCTGAATTTGTATCTCCAGGTTTCTCTGGAAAATTCCATTTCAGCTGATAACCCAGTTAATACTAGATAACACTAGTTATCTCCTTGTCCTCTCTTCTGTAACCCTGTGCTGGTTTGAAAGCAAACCAGCAGGGGGTCCCAAGTCAGAATTACAATTTAGTAGGAAAATTAAAGGAAATTCAGTAGTACAAAAACACTAGTAGAGTCAGTATACAACCTGACTGGGTTGGTCAGGGTGGTGGTAGCAGTCCAATTAAATGGTGGCTGCAGTCCTCTTGGAGTGACAGATGTGGTTCTGTTGAAGCAGTGATCCTGTCGAAGGGTGTAGTTTTCCTCTGAAGGTCCAGGGTGGTGTAGATGGATCTGGTCTTCCTCTGGGAATCCAGTGGGAGAAGGCTGACTGTGGTGTTCCAAATCTCAGATTTTTTCTAGGTAGGATTGCTCCTCCTCCTGGCTGAAGCATCTCGCAATGGGATGATGTAATTTTACCAGTCCTGCAGTGAGGTTCAGTGGCCCATTAAGAGAAGATATCCCCCTGGAAGGAGGATGGGTCATGGAGGAGTTAAAGAACGCTGCCCCACTTGGTTTTAACAAATGGTAATAGAATACATACTTTTGGTTACATCTTGCATTGCAACCTAAGACAAGCCCAGCCACTGTAATTGAATAGCATAGAGACCTAGAGTGACCATCTAGTCCTAGTGCCTGACCATTTCAGGGCTGACCAAAATTAAAGCTTGGCATTAAGGGTACTGT